TTTTTTTGAACACCCTGTCAGCCTAAATATGGGAGAGAGAGAAGTCTTTTGCCTGCATCAGCTCAATCCAAAGCCATCCACAGGCAGCAGTCGCTTAACTGCGACATCATATATGTTTTTTCAAAATTTGGAATGCTAACAAAGAATTAAGGGAGTACTGAGATAGCTATTTCTAACCTTGTTTGGTTTTCATCAGTCATCATGAAAACCAAACAAGGTTAGAAATAGCTATCTCAGTACTCCCTTAATTCTTTGTTAGCATTCCAAATTTTGAAAAAACACAGTACATGTTCTATTGAACTATTCTTTTCAAGCAGTTATAAAATTATCTCCTGAGTAACTGCTATGACTCATGTAATTTTAACTTAAATTGGCTTTTAATATGTTGTGCTTGACATACAGTTTCACACACACCAAAATTCCTAAGATGAAATATGAATTGACAGAATATTCTTTGCTGCCTGCATCAGTTTCGCCACCACCTTCAGTTACAGTAAGTGACTTACTTCAGTTTTGCTAGCAAACGTTTTTTATTAGAACTATGTAGTTACTAGACAGAAGATTTAAAAAAAAAATAACCAAAGTTGTTCATCTGTTAGTCAAACTCTTACAGAGTGGCAGGATACGTTTTATGCTCCAGAGGTATGCCTTGGGTTTATCTGACTACTGTAAGCCCAGCAAAATATACACATCTATCCAGAATTTCTCTTTTATTGGCTTTCAAGGTTTTTTTGCTACAAGGTATTCCTTCTTGCTAAGGACTTTCTTTCCTTTGCACAGGTACATGCACAGGACCATAGGTTCTTGTCTAATATTAGTTTTGGACTATTGATTCACCTAGATTGATATTGCTAACACTGCTTTGTGGGAATTTTTGCAAAGTTGAGTAGTAAGGCCAATATTCTGGGCCCAGTGCTCTTCAACATCTTCATCAACGATTTGGACGAGGGGATAGATGGGGAACTCATCAAATTTGCAGATGACACCAAGCTGGCAGGAATAGCCAACACTCCAGAAGACAGGCTTAGGATACAGGAGGATCTGGACAGACTTGAACACTGGGCGCTATCTAACAAAATGAAATTCAATGGTGAAAAAAGTAAGGTTCTACATTTAGGCAAGAAAAACCAAATGTACAGGTATAGTATAGGGGGTACCTTGCTCAATAGTAGTAACTGTGAGAGGGACCTCGGAGTCCTAGTGGACAATCACTTAAATATGAGCCAGCAGTGTGCTGCAGCTGCCAAAAAGGCCAACACAATGCTGGGCTTCATTAACAGAAGGATAGAATCAAGATCACGTGAAGTGTTAATACTACTTTACAATGCCTTGGTAAGGCCACACTTGGAATACTGCATCCAGTTTTGGTCACCACGATGTAAAAAAGAATTTGAGACTCTAGAAAGAGTACAGAGAAGAGCAACAAAGATTATTAGGGGACTGGAGGCTAAAGCATATAAGGAAAGGCTGCTGGAATTGGGTATGTCTAGTTTAATGAAGAGAAGGACGAGGGGGGACATGATAGCAGTGTTCCAATATCTCAGGGGCTGCCACAAAGAAGAGGGAGTCAAGCTATTCTCCAAAGCGCCTGAAGGCAGGACAAGAAGCAACGGATGGAAAATAATCAAGGAGAGAAGCAACCTAGAACTAAGGAGAAACTTCCTGACAGTTAGAACAATTAACCAGTGAAACAACCTGCCTCCAGAAGTGGTGAATGCTCCAACACTTGAAGTTTTTAAGAAGAGACTGGACAGCCATTTGTCCGAAATGGTATAGGGTTTCCTGCCTGAGAAGGGGGTTGGACTAGATGACCTCCAAGGTCCCTTCCAACTTTACTACTACTACTATTATTACTACTACTATTACTACTACTACTACTACTACTACTACTACTACTATTATTATTATTATTATTATTATTATTATTATTATTATTATTATTATTATTATTATTATTATTATTATTATTATTATAGTTGAGATTTCCTGCCTGGAAATATTTGCTTTACAGTGAGCTACAATTGTGACATACAAAACATCATGGCCACTTTAGCAATTCTCCCATGGTTACTCACTTACTCAATTCTGGGATATAGAAAGATAATTTAACTCAGGTGACAAGTTAATGATACCATGGTCATTTATGGCACTTTTGCCACTCAGATGGTTTGATTTCAGCTTTGGGGACAAAAATGGGAAAGGTTATATTTCTTGTTTGTTAGTTTTCCAATTTCCTGGACTTATCTACACAGGGGGATATCTTGAATAACTGCAAGGGCAAATGCTATCAAAATGCCCTTTTGATTTATCTGTGCATCACCCTTCTATTTTGTGAAGCGATAAGAAGGTGGAAACTGTCACATAGAAGGGAAAGGGGGCAGTCTGTGTGAGTATTTTAGCCTATCATTGCAATCTCTGCCTCACTCATGAGTCATATGATCCAAACTTGTCTTTTCCCGCTTTAGTTCAGTTTTTTTCCTGACTGCTTTTAAAACTTTGGAAAGATGGGCACTTGTGGTTTCAAGTGTTGCAGAATTTAATGCAGGTTGAGGTTAATAACAATTCTAACAGGAATCACTAGGGAAAAGGCATGTTATTAGCTCCAATATATTCCTGATGAGATGGAAAAGGAGAAGAAAGAAGTAGTAGCATAGACATATATCAGGGCTCTCCAAACTTGGCAACTTTAAGACCTGTGGATTTCAACTCCCATAGTTCCTCAGCCGCCATGCTGGCTGAGGAATTCTGGGAGCTGAAGTCCACAAGTTGCCAAGTTTGGAGACTCCTGACATATGGCAATCTGCCCTCACAGTGGAGGAAAGGGAATTTTCTGCCTGAAAGCATTTTTTGTGTCTTTCTCTAGGAAAAGAGACACTTCCAGTTCTAACCCTTATATTTTCCATAACTCTCAATCAATGCAAGCAGCAAAAAAGTTGATCATTTGCTCATTTTGCTGGGGGCGAGGGGTGTTTTGAACTTTCCTAGGCTGAAAAATACAGGTCATCTGCCTAAAGTCTCCTTGAACATCCAGATTACATTACCTATTGGTGTATTATACACCTTCTCTTCACCGTTTAAACACAGTGAATAGTATATTATATTCACTACATTTGCTTACAGGGCAACATTTGAATTTCCAAGAAACCCATTACTAGAAATGGTAGCTCCTGCGCCACTCTTTTTTTCCTCTATAACTTTCCATAGATAAAGTAATATTACTTTATTCTAAATAATTAGTCATTAGTTTAGATGACAAGGAATATGCATATTTTTTTAAACAGGTAAACAAATCCAAGGATTGTATACTATAAAGGGACTTTTATCAGATTGTGCTGATTTTTCTTGTGTACATCTTGTAAAAGAGGTCCACACACTGGTTGAGTGGGATGAATGTTGCCTATGTGCCTAACCAGAGATAATCATCATTGTGAAGGTTAATAAACAAATATAATGTTAAATAATTGTTAACTATTGTGAATTCTTTTGAATGCAGCTGCACTTGAACTGTTAGTGCAAGGTCTGTTTTATGTATTTCTTTCTGCCTATCTAGCATTTGACCTACATACTGCACATAGTCTCCCAAGAAGCTACCTAAAATATTGCAAGTCATTTCAGAATAAAATGTTGGCAGGAGGGACCCATTATATGTTCTTTAAATCATTTATTGAAAAAGATTTCCCAGATTACCTCAGCATCATCTTTACTTAGCAGATTAATTACTCTGTAGTTAGCTATTAAACTAGCAATTAAATATTTGTCTTCATGATATACTCCTTGGCAAATGAATTAATTAGCACTGAATGTTGAGAAATGGCTGCTAAATAGCAGGCATTGTGTTGTAACAGAATAGAGTAATTACATTTCATTATGACTATTATTAATTTTATTAACTGAATAAATGTCAAGTATTTCCTCAACTCCTACTCCAAGCTGTATCATACTGTTTGAGAATCAGATACCAAAGTAAGATGCACTCACTGTCTCAGTACAATTGCTAAATTATCGAGTCTGGAGTTAATCACAGAGCAAGGTGATGGAACACTCAACTTCAGAACTTTAATTCCAGACTGAATTGTAACAGTTATCCTCATCCTCATCACCCCACCTTTACCACCATCACCAGGCCAAGTAGTAAAAAATGCTATGAAAAAAGCTTGGCTAATTTTTAAAAGATACTATCAGTCATGAATATGTTAATTAATTATTATCAACCTTTTATCTCTGATGGAAGTTGAAACACTGTTAATTAATACTTTTCCATATAGAGAGAAGAGCTCCAGGATTTCCATTCTATATTTAGCCAAGCAATGAAAATGATTACAAAGGCTTTTGAATTATTGGAGTCTGAATTTCAAAAACTTCACATGTAAGTATTTTTTATTCTACAGTTTATTCAACAGAGTAGAATCATTTCCTCAAATATCAGAAAGTTAGATTTATCTTGCAAAAAACCATAAGCGTACCATATTTTTCCGTATATAAGGCGCTATTTTTTTTCCTGCAAACACCCTGTTCAAAAATCAGGTCCATCTTATACACGGAAAAATAATGGTAACCTCCGCAGCCCAGGGCATGCCTGTGTGGCTTTTTTGGACTGAAGCCCCATATATATAATATCATTACTTATTTACTATAAAAAAAAGGTGAATTGAACTCATCGGGTGGAGGCAGTGTCAAAATGTTCTTTCTTGAAAACATCATAGAAGCAGTTTGTCATCATCTTCTCCAGGATATATTTCCCAGTTGAGACCAGATTTTGAAATTATTTTCTATTCTATTCTAATATTCCTGATCAATACCCTTCTTAGTTATCTATAAGCTGTATTCTGGTATTCTTGCTGGAGAAGATTTTTTTCCCCCAAACAAAATAACTTTAAAATATGAGACATGTAGGTATTTATGCATGTGAGTTTAATCAGCATAAAACCATAGCAATATAATACATTTTCATGGTACTTCTTTCAATTATGGCATGTGTATGAATGGATGTATAGAGCTGTTTCTATATATCTGTTCTGTACATATATTTGTTTGCTTGCTTTTTTTAAATGAAGCTCAATTCTTATTTTCGTGGATGTATCATTTCAGGATAAAAGCTGAACTGGCTCAGGCAACCAAAGCATTTCAGCATGAAAAAGATCAGTATGACAAAAACCTGAAAAACCAGCAGAAGGTAGGGCTTCGGTTATTTCTGTTAGCACTAGTGTTGCAAATTGGGAGTACCTTTATTACCAGTTCTGTCAAGACCTTAAATAAGCTAATGCCTTCTGGGAGACCCAAAATAAAATTATACTTAATAACTAATCAGTGCAATTGATGAAATATTTTTGAAGTTAATAGCATTCAAGGCAAACAAATAAAAACTTGACATTTAATAGTTAACATTAGGAGTCATACAGAACTCCAAAGCAATTAATAATCCATGGGGAATTTGATACATTCACTTCAGTGAGAATTAAGACCTGCAGTGATCTCGAAGAAAAGTATGAATCACTTATGTGAACCCTGCAGAGTATTCAGTTATTATCAGGTAAATAAAAGGGAAAAGATGCAAAAGCTTCTTGCCACAGGAAAGGGTGGGAAAAAAGTTTAAGGCTTCTTGTTACGGCAGAGAACAAGAGGTTTACAACATGCAATGTTCATAAAAACCTACAGACCTTTTGCACAGATATCACTTCTCTTGGGAAGTAAGAATAAAGTAGAAAGAAGGTTATATTCCTGTGGGAGGAAAGGGAAGAATGAGGATTACTCAACCAAAGTTTTCCTAGGTGTACTGAAAGCTGATGTGGTAAGGAAAGAGGTATTGAATGTCATATGCTGCCCTGGAGGGAAAGGGAAATTTGAGACTATGGATACATCTTCCCATTGCCTCTATCTCATTATGAGTCACTGAATTCCTAATTCTTTACATTCAAGCACCTCTGGTTATGAGGGAGAACGAGAAGGGAGACTTTAAAGGCCGAAAGAGAGCAAAAACCAAAAGAACTATGATGGTAAACACTGGAAAGATAGAGAAAAGTTATATTTAAAATTATTTTAATATGACATTAAAATTACAAAATACATATTAATAAAGGAAAGTATAAACTTTAAAAGGTCATATTATAGCACATGCGAGGAATAGAATTCGGTGTCTGGACTGGTGAATGGCCACTGCCAGGCAACATTGATCTTTATGTGTCAAAGAATTCACTAGACATTCAAACATTCTTTTTCTGTATCTGCCATTGTTTTGCTACATTCCAATAATCAGTGGTGCAAATGGGGGGGGGGATAAGAGGATGTTTTTTAACAGTTTGGGTCACAGTTGCTTGGATAAATCCTTCTTGGGTCCTTTTTAAAATCTTGGGCATCCTATCTTTGACTAGAGTAAAAAAAACTGAGACAAAGTAGTAGTGCCAGTTAGGGAGGGAAAAGCACAACCAAATAGCATTTGATTAGCGCTACTTACAGCTGCATTTCTTTAGATAACCTTCACTTGTTATAATTGCTAATAAAGCTTGGGAACCAATGTGAATTTGATGGTATATTTATGTAGTTGGTAGATGGTAGTAAATATTCTTAATTTTCTAATAAAGATTTTTTTTTCTTTAACTCAGGAGCTACAAGTGATGCTAGAAAAACATAAAGTCCAAAATGAAGCATGGCTCAAAGCCAGAGCTGAGGAGACCGACAAGGAAAGGAAAGAACTCTTCAAACTCAGAGTAAATATTTACAAAACTCAAGAGAAGGGTAGAAACTGGCAAGTTTCCCAACATTTCCTTATCCTCTTTCCCCTAAGTTGCTTTTGATGTTCGACATAAAACAACTCCCTGGAACAAAATTTCAACTCTGTAAGATAAATATAGCAGTACCCATGTTTCAAAACTAAAACTAGTATGATAAAGCTATTGCATTTGCTGGAGCTTGGGAAAGTTGTGTTTCCAGAAATAATATTTTTTTTTCTGTTCAATGACTTCAAACAAGATTCTTAGTAGCTGCTAGATTAAATAATTTTGGCCTAATTGCAATAGTATCCCTGAAGGATCTATTAAGATGACACTCAGAAAGTCTCTGTTCTTACGCAAGTTGCAGTGTGCACTCCTACATTAAAAAGAGCTTTGTTTTAGTCTAAACCACAAATTTTGGTGAGAGAGTGAGATTAATACTATTTTCTGAGTAACGTATTCAAAAATAATGTTTATATCAGTTTTATGATTTCACTATTGTTAAGCAGTATTGCAATCTGGCCAGACAAATCCAGTTGTTGGACACCTAAAATATTTAAATATCTGAATATTTCCCTATGACAGTGATGGTGAACCTTTTAGAGACTGAGTGCCCTAACTGCAACCCAAAACCCACTTATGCGTCATCAAGTGCTGGGTGGGTGTGGTCAATTGGGTGGGTGGGTGGGTGTGGCCAATTGGGTGGGCATGGCCAATTGGGTGGGCGTGGCTGCAGTGGTAACAGCAGACTGGGTGAGACTAAAAAATTCAGTCAATCAATTCCAACTTTGCAAGATCTTTTTTTTTCCGGCGAGAAGTTGAAATTGACTGATTGAACCTTTTTTTTTTTGCACACGGCGGCGGAGGCCTAAAGCGAAAAGATTATATAAAACCCAGCTGAAGGCCTAGGACTGGGGTGATGGCGCGCGTGCCCACAGAGAGGGCTCTGAGTGCCGCCTCTGGCACCCGTGCCATAGGTTCGCCACCACTGCCCTATGAGAATATTAAATTGTGCATTTCTTCCATTCATGTATTGAGTTGGGCTGGAGAATTTGGTATTTTGGATACAAACTGCAGCACTTGGGAGAGTGGAGCAAAATATTCTAGTCTTTTTTAATTATATAGCTTTAAAGTAGTTTTCCCCAGTTTGGATCGAGGATAGACATAAGGTCGGCAGGGAAAACAGATCTTAAAGCTATATCATGCCCTATGGAAAGCTGTCAGGTAAGTCTGTGAAGGTACATCTCAGTCCTAGTTTATATGTGAAAGGTTTTAAAAATTACCATACAGTACATCCGGTATGACTCTAAGTCTGTTTTCCATTTTTACTGCTCCAGTACCTAAATACGTTATCAGTTAATCATCAAACAATATAAGTGTATCACAAACAATTATTACATTTTAAAATAAAGATGAGCTACCCACAGCCTTAAACCTTAATATCACTTAATATAACTCTCAAACCTCATTTTTCCTCTCACCAGAACCCCCTCTAGCTACACCGCCATATTTCAATTCCATATAAATCAGCAGCAAAGTTTGCTGCCACTTTGAAGTGTAAGCTCTGAAATAGCCTTAGTGCTTTCCTTCTTTAAAACCACAACAATGCTCCAAACAAATGGAATCCTAGGGTCATCCATATATGTGTGGGTGCATACTTTGTATCATCAACCCACCCACTGCTTTTGCTCTGCTTCCTTTCTTCCCCAAAACATGTGGCTTTTTTTAAAATACCCTCTACCTTTCCCAGAGTTATGTTGTCTTGTTTTGATGTGGACTACATGTTATTTATTAAAGACAACAGATAATGTGTTGTACTTTTTTATCATGTAGCTACTGAGCATCTCAGAAAAATACAGCTCCCATGGTGCTAACATATAAAAGGACTCAAATAATCAGAATAGACCTTGTGAGTGTCACCCCCTCCTGCTTTTCCTCTTCCCATTCCAGTCGTTTTATTGTTGACATCATTTCAAAACAAAGGAAGATTATTAATGTCTACATTAATTGTTTTGCTAGTATTGGAGTGCATTCTTATGTTAGTAAAGTTAGCTAATTAAACTGGAACACTGCAACTGAGATCAATAACAATTTTTCATAAAGATTTTAATCACATTGAGTTAAACACACACTCGTTGTGTAATTGGTGATTTATGTTTTTCAACTAACTATTGTCAAGATCATCAAACATAAATCAGTTTTGAAAGAGAGACAAGAATGGAGGTGAACTTAGTGCAAGATCCTTGTTTTTTGTTTTTTTTCCCCCATGTTAGAAAGTGATGCAAAAAAAAATGCAATGATGATTCTCATATCACTAGATCTAATTAAACAGCATTACATTGTTCTCAGAGCATAATTTGCTATAGCTTCAGTTTTTAATACTTATATGTTTGTGCACATACATTTTTTTCTGTGAAACATTTCAAGTCAACAACTGGTTTTCATTGTAGCAATAAACAGCATTTATTTCTCTACAATAATCACCATTTTAATCACTGGTTTTTAGTTCTAAAAATTCCCGTGGTGAGCATTCACTTCTGGAAAAATCATATACAAAGCAAATAAAACCTTTTGTGCCATCCACTGCCTCAACTAGCTAAATGAAACAGTAGATGGAGCAAAGCATTTTGTTAGGCTAGTGCTGTACATGTGCATACTACACTGGTCAACTTAAATCTGTGGTGAATATTAAACCAATTCCATACTTTAACATTACAGAAAAATCTGTTATAGTTTTCTCTTTGTTATTATAAATCCTTTGGTCTAGTGGTTAAGGCATCAAGGTAGAAACCACAAGAATATATTTCTAGTTCCACTTTAGGCACGAAAAGGACTGAGTGACTTTGGATCAGTCACTCTCTCTCAGTCCAACCCAAGAATTCCAGTGGTTCAGTGGCTTAATGACGCTGGAGATGGTTTCTGCTCCTGTGGTTCAAGTCCTAGAACTGCATGTTGGGGTGAGCTCCTGTCACTTGCTCAGTCTCTGCCCATCTAATATTTTGAAAGCATGTTCTGTGCGAGTAGATAAAATAGATACCACTTTGGTGGGGGAACAATCTGATCTATTTCATATTATGTGTTTTGGTTGCTTGCTATTTTTCTTCCTTCATGCATGATACAAATTAAGCCATTATGGTTAGTAAAGTAGACTTTATGGCTAAATGTAGGAAAGTGACATTTTTTTTAGTATCCAGAGCCTACACTACATCTGGTAGTGGAGGGTGAAGGTCACAGTGGATGGAACAGTGATGCAAATGAAGAAACTATGGTAAACATGTGGGCATATGTGAATTTTTTTCCATAATTTTTAGGAGGGAAGGAACTTGAGGGTACTTAAATTGCCATGCATATTTCAGAGCATCCAAATTATAGTTTTCATGCATGCTGTTTTTCAACCAATACAAAATAAAGACAATAGTCCAAAGAGGGTCACATAAAAGGAGTTTGGAAGTTGCCCATCACCGTGTGCCATCTTAACCAAATAAATGATAGTTTATCTAACAAATCATGATTAAATGTCATGGCTTAACACAATGCAGTATTTTTTTTTCCTGAAGAAAAGCTTCACATGATTTTATTTCCCCCTGGACGAGGTGATTAGAGACTTTAAAACATGTATTTTACTTACGCAAAACAATAATTTGCTGAAGAAGATTATATAACACCTGCTCAGATTCTGGAACCAAAAAACTTTATGGAAAGGGTCTGGAAGAGACATAGGGTTATTTTTATGCTTTGCAGTTATTCCTGTGGTTCAGAATTTTAATCTAAGTATGTCTTCTGATTTTTCTCCCACAGGAAGCAATTCTTCAAGATCAGGAAAGGCTGAGAGATGAACAGCAAAGTGTTCAGCAGTGCAATCAGCAGCTCATTTCTGTAATGCAACAACTCAAAGGAATGTGAACCGTTGCTGAATAAAAAAAAAACCAAAACCTGATCACACAACACAGCGTTGCTCAAACAGATGAGCTGTTATGTATAGTAGGACAAAGATCCTGCTACAGTATCAATTAAATCTCGATCTTGCTGAGGTTCATTCAACCCTAGGATGCTGGTTCCATTAAATTCCCAATTGCTTTAAAATACATCATAAATTTTTGATGCGCTGGTTTTTTTTTTTTAAAAAAAACCCCAGATATGTAGACGAGAGTGCCTGAGGTGTTAAATAATGAGTAGGATAAACATACTGAAATGTCGCTTATGCATTTTGTAAAAGTTTGGATCATGTGTTCCTGTTCACAAGGTGAGAGGCACGTGCAGCACACTTAAAAGGGGAAGGAACTTCAGTAGTTCAACCATGACTTCCAGTTTTTCTCCCCTGCTGATATTCCTAATTTTTCTTTTAAGATGTGTCTAAAGAATATGCTATCATTTCTGATTATCAGAATAATGGTAACCAATATTTTAGCTTCGGGTAAAAAATGGATATTAGGGTTCAGTTCTTAAAAGTATATAACAACCCTCTTCACCTCCCCCATATATGGTTATTCAGAGGTCAATCCCATTGAGATATCTGCAATGCTACAGTAAAATCAGACATTAAAATCAAATCTCAACTTTGTACATTTCTATGGTAGTATGCACTAGCCATTTCTGTATCGGCAAATCAATCTAATCGGTAAAACCCAAAAACATAATATTGTTTTTTTCCACCTCAAGCACAAAGTCCAGAAGCGGTTTCCAAGTAAAATCATTCTAAACAGTGTAAAAGATGAATCTATAGATGGAGGGAAGATAAGGTTGGGGGTATTTCAAATTTGATCTCCACTTTAGAACATGAATGATTCACCTGTCTACAGCACCTTAAAGGATGCAGTTTTGGCACTGCACAACCTCAATATGGTGTTCAAATTGCTAAGAGGGGTGGAATAGATATCTCTTTTGAAATAAATGTCTTCTTTCCCCTTTCAGGAATTAAAACATAAACATCCCCCAAAAGTACTACTACTACTACTACTACTACTACTACTACTACTACCTTTCTTCTTCTTCTTCTTCTTCTTCTTCTTCTTCTTCTTCTTCTTCTTCTTCTTCTTCTTCTTCTTCTTCTTCTTCTTCTTCTTCTTCTTCTTCTTCTTCTTCTTCTTCTTCTTCTTCTTCTTCTTCTTCTTCTTCTTCTTCTTCTTCTTCTTCCTCTTGGCAAGTCACTCATATTTGTAATGATTGCAGTGTCCTGGGATCATGTGATCATTTTATGCGACCTGACAAACAAAGTCAATGGGGAAACTCAATTCAGTTAACAACCATGTTACTAATTTAACAACTGCAGTGATTCATTTAGCAACAGTGGCAAGAAAGGTCGTAAAATGGGGCAAAATTCATTTAACTGTCTTACTTAGCAATAGCAATTTTGGGGTCAGTTGTGGCTGTAAATCAAGGACTATCTGTATTGATAAAGTTTACGTAGGGTCTGAAGCGCCACCAAAACATACGTTGGCAAAAGCTGTGTCGAAATCTGGGGCTCATCTTCATTTATTCCTAAACTTCCCCCATATTTCCAAGTGCTGTTAGTTTATGACATTAAGTTATTATATTTCTGAGTGGTTAGCCAGCTCTATATTTCTATTTTTATGCTGCAAGGAATAAATTAGGAGATAACCCTTTTAGCTCATTCAGAACCTAACAGGGCTATTTGACCTGCGTGTAGAGCAGTGTTTCTCAACTTTGGCAACTTGAAGACATCTGGACTTCAACTCCCAGTAGGGCTGTCTGGGGAATTCTGGGAGTTGAAGTCTAGATGTCTTCAAGTTGCCAAGGTTGAGAAACACTGGCATAGTGCAGTATGTTGCATAGTCATGTTTGAGAGATTTCCTCCAAGAGTTTCACATGCTTTCAATCATTCAGCAGGAACTATATGCCTGTAGTATAATTGTCCATAGTAACATAAATTATATTGCAGCATTGAATACATACCATACACATATTCTGTCTCAAATGATAGTTGCTCACTGGCAGCATAATTAAACTGTAGATTTAACAGCAAAGGAACTCAGCATACATTCAGTATGTTGATAAGACAAACACACTCTGGTACAACACCATTGAAGTGGCAGGTTGCAAGAAGCCAGTGTGTTGATTCACTTCCTATACTATATGTGCTAATTGGCTTTTGCATTGACCCAACTGGCCTATAACTCCTTTATAAAACAACAACTATTCTTTAAAAACAAGCAAACAAATGCAATACACAGTGGCCCAATTGAAATTGGATCCATGTGGGCGATGCAGAGCTGGGGGAGAAAGTTTCCCAATTCTCCAATGTATCTCCTACCTACATACTCAGAATATAGAAAAGATATTGAAGTAGCAGAGACACTGTTACTGCGCTGGACCCATTTGTTGATTACTCCTTGCTGTCTCTTAAGTTCACAAGTCAGAAGGAGGAATTAATCTCAATGTGTGTGTGCATGCGTGTGTGTGTGTTTATATACATTCTTGATTCAAATTATATGCTAGGGCTGCCATTTCATAATTTAACTCATACTAGGCCCAATCCAAGCATGGCTTGATATAAAGTGCCAATGTGGTCATTGGTTTAACAAATGCTGTAAATAAATGGTTTTATTGTGCTTTGGAGTAGGATATACTATAACTTTAGCCAGTTGAGGTTATTCAATAAACAATAGTTAAGAAAACCATGAATTAGCAGTTCTGAACTTCTAATGCCCTCTACCTGGGTACTTTTGAAAAGCATTCGGAAGCTACAGCTGTCACAGAATGGTGACATGAGCAGTTCTTAGGGCCCCTAGAGTCAGTGGTGGGATTCAGCCAGTTCGTACCAGTTTGACTAATTTTTTGTTACCCAGGCCCAGAATGGACTTCCGGAAGCAGCATCCACACAGAGAACCGGTTGTTCACATATTTGAATCCCACCACTGCCTAGAGTGGCCCATGTTACACCACTGCTTCACAAGCTGTACTGTTTGCCAGCTTGCTTCCACGTGCAATTCAAGGTGTTGGTTACTACCTTTAAAGTCCTGCATTTCTCAGTGGCATGATTCTTCTACAGCAGGGGTCCCCAACCTATGGGCCAAGGCCCACTACCAGTCTGTGGCCTATTCGCAACAGGGCCATATGAGTGGCTGGCTGATGCGCGTACACAGCCCCACGTGCACAAGGGTCATGGGTGCTTGTGGCCCCATTTGTGTGAGGGTCACAGGTGCTCGCAGCCTTAGTCGCATGAGAATCACAGGTGCTTGAGGTCTCGCACGAGCATCGCGAGCGCTTGGGGCCTCACACAAGCATTGTGAGCATTCGCAGCCCCACTCGTGCGAACATCAGGTGCTTATGTGTTCACATGCGTGAGTGCACACATCTGCCCCTCACACAAAACCATCTCCTTTCCCCCCTCCCCCTCCCGGGCCACCAACCTGGAAAAGTTGCGGAACTCTGTTCTATCCCATTTAATAGATTATATTATTTTTTCCCCAGGCCCTTATTAGTGCATCTTATCATTTATGATATCTAAGCAGCATCTCCTTTACAATAGTAATTTCTTATGTATACATTGCTTTGAAAATACAAGCACAAATATATTGTTTTAATTTTCCACCAGAATTGAATCCATATCCCTGGATGCATGCTACAGGTATAATCACCCTTGCAGATTTAAATCAAGAAGAGTCTGGTGGCACCTTTTCAGACTGACACATTTTATTAAAAGACATAACTCTTTCTGAGCTACACCTCATGTCATCAGATGCCTGCAAACTTCTAACCTTGTAAATTTCTCAGATGCCACTACCAGTCTGGCTGAGTGTTGCTTTTGAGATGATTCAGTTGTCTGGCCACAATCCTACTGGAGCATCAATGTGGGTGAGATAACATTGTTTAAAGAAGTTTAAGTCTCCCTCACCCCACTTGCTGAAAATTATTATGTGAAGCAGCTGCTAGCAGAAAAGAGAAGCTTGGAATCAGGGTGGGATGTGAACAATAACTGTAAGATAGGGTTCCTAGTGAAGAGGAAGCACAGGAAATAGCAGTTAATTTTCCTCCTTTATTGCAGGATATAAAAGCATGTTTAGTGTCACGGTCACCTTGGAGGTCTTCTAGTCCAACCCCCTACTCAAGCAAGAAACCCTGTATCATTTCAGACAACTGGTTATCCAATCTCTTCTTAAAAATCTCCAGTGTTGGAGCACCCACAACTTCTGGAGGCAAGTTGTTCCACTGATTAATTGTTCTAATTGTCAGGAAATTTCTCCTTAGTTCTAAGTTTATTCTCTCCTTGATTAGTTTCCATCCATTCCTTCTTGTCTTCTCAGATGTTTTGGAGAATAGGTTGATCCTCTCTTCTTTGTGGCAGCCCCTTAAATATTGGAACACTGCTATCATGTCACCCCTAGTCTTTCTTTTCATTAAACTAGACATACACAATTCCTGCAACTGTTCTTCATATGTTTTAGCTTTCAGCCCCCTAATCATCATTGTTGCTCTTCTCTGAACTCTTTCTAGAGTCTCAACATCTTTTTTTATATTGTAGCGACCAAAACTGGATGCAATATTCCAAGTTTATTCTTACCAAGGCATTGTAAAGTGGTATTAACATTTCATGTGATCTTGATTCTATCCCTCTATTAATACAGCCTAGGACTGTGTTGGCTTTTTTTTGGTACATGCAGCATACTGCTGGCTCATATTTAAGTGATTGTCCACTAGGACTCCAAGATCCGTCTTGCAGTTACTACTATTGAGCCAGGTACTACCTATTCTATGCATCTGCATTTGGTTTTTCTTGCCTAAATGTAAAACCTTACTTTTCTCACCATTGAATTTCATTTTGTTAGATAGGGCCCAATGTTCAAGTCTGTCAAGATCCTTCTGGATCTTGAGCCTATCTTCTGGGGTGATGGCTATTCCTGCCAGCTTGGTGTCATCTGTAACTTTGATGAGTTCCCCTTTTATCCCCTGTCATTATAATAAAGCTTTACACACTTTTGATTCTCGCATAGCTGTTTTTCATTCTGTTCCAGCAGTCTTTCTTTAAATAATATCCAAGCAAGTCTACTCATTATTTTTTTTACAACAAAAGTAACATTTCTTGTATTTTTCTTGGTCTTTGAATACAGTAAGGTATTTATTAGCTTTGCTCTGTATGGGAGTTCATCCACATAGAAGC